TGAGCGAGTGCCTAATGATTTTCTGCGAAATGAAGTTGATGCCATTCGCTAATATGCAAAATAATATTATGACATTACAAGTTCTGCGATAATCAATACAAATTAATTGTTTGAGTTAATAAGGTAATAATTTTAACTAACTGTATGGTATTGCAGAAAAAGTTTTCCTTTCTTATTTTCAAAGTACCAAATCATGAGCATTAACTTTTGCATTCAAAAACTTTAGAAGAAGTAGAATATACGCCTCAGATTTTATAATTCTGGCAGTTTGCTTGAGTTTACACTCACCTCACAAACTAAGTCATGTTTGAAAAAGAAGAATGGTCTAAAATGGGCTATGCCTAGACATATCTATTGATTAAAATCGTTATTTAAAATAAATAAAACAAAACTTCTCTAATTTAGGTTTATATAATAATAATGGCCTGAAAAACTAATGTTGTTATTAAGTAAGCAGTTAATATAATTTGTAATGATTAGTCGTTCTGATTTTGTTAACTACAAATATTTTTATTTATTAAAATAAACCAACACGAACATTTAAACGTTCTTCATGTCAAACATTGTAATATATCGATTTAAATAATTCATACTTAATATCTGTCTGTTATTATTTATTTCGTTGAAATGTAATCGATATTTAATTTTTGCAACAAGCAATTTCCTAGACAATACTTATACGGTGTTCGTGGGTATCATCAGATAAGATTGATTCGTGTTTAATGTTTTTTGTATCCCCTATTAACCAATAAGTAGTTTCATTCTTGTATCGATTAAGTTTAACCTATCATGATTGCTATAACGGAACTTTTAAATTAAAGTTAACATTTTTTTCATATAATGTGTGTTCGAATCGTTATTTGTAGACAACAATTAGAAAGTTGATATTCCATACATTCTTTTATTAATGTAAAGAACGTTTTTGCAGTTTATGGACTCGAATAAGTAATGATTAATAGCTCTAAAGTTAACACGCGAGATATATTTTATTTTTATATGTTTAATTATGTTTTGATAATACTTTCTATTAAGAAAGAAGCTTTTTATGAAAGCTCATAATTTTGTTTTGCAAGATTAGTGTTATTACAAGAAGATACAAAATATCACAAAGTAACCTGCATTTAGATGAAGGTTATGGTGTAATAAATGACGCTATAAAGATTCCGCATATGGAAATTGTATATCAAAGCAATTACTAAAATAGATTATATTATGTAATAAATCATAGTGTTGTGTGAGTGTCGGTTTTGTATTGAACGGTGTCACCTCTTGAATCACTCGATCATAAACTGATACGTGCTATAAATGTATCTCTTGATAAGAGTGAAGTAAAGTATTTTGAATTAATAATAGAAAATAAAATTAAGAAGTTTTTATTATTACACATTCTCGTTTCAGGATCAGCTAAACGGCTAGGTGAAATCTTGGTTTGTTTGTTTTCTTATTAAACGGCAAGATACGATAACGATATAACTGAGGAATAATTTTGATACGATAATTTGAAAAGAAGCGTCTAAAGAAATTATTACTACAAACCAAAATCCTCCTAGGCAAGTAAATGTATTCATAATGCATGTAACAGCTGCCACACAAACCATAGATATATTTTTTTTGCGTATCATGTTGTAGGGATGAACAATTCAACGGACATCGTTTGTTTTGTGTCATACTGAGAGAAATTCAGAAATTGGTGCAACAAAAATATCTTTTAAAGAAATGAATGAAATAGTAAATTATAATTATAATTATACACGTAGTTTATAAACTTTTGTTAAAAATACTCAAACAATATATGACGCGTTTAATACATATATTTTTGTGTCATTTTGAAAATGTTTAAATGTTTGTTTTTATATACCGTTTACGAATCGTAATAATAAAAAGTAACAGGTGTCCTGAGTTTGCGAAGTTAATAAATTAACGTATTTACATATTGACATGTAAATTAGTTGGAGTATACTTACATCAGCTGCAAAATGATTTACATAATTAATCATCGCGAATATGAAATAAACATTATACAATAACAGAACATCAGGTTGCCGCAAATTTATAAAATCTATCTTCCAACAGATCTTCAACTTTATAGTAAAAGCTAGAAATCGAATTGGGAAATGTGTAATTTTTGGTACATCCTGATATAGTGTTGACTGTACATTATTATTGTAGAAGTATGAAAACATTGATAACATGATTAGTGATTTTCACCAAAGTAATGTATACTAATAGTTTTGTGTACTTAAGAGATATTATAAAGTGTTATGATGTGTCATATCAAATTTGAATGATGTTATTTCTGAATCATATATCAACCATGTTCTATTTGAGCGGCTTTTAACGAATTTCCACCGATTCAAAACCATCGAAGCGAATCATTCATATCTTAGGATCACTCGATTCACGTAAATAGTGTTCCAGCACCCAAGCAGGTGATTTATAGATATGATATGTAGTAACATTTGATTCCAATGGATATGATTCGGAGGAATATCCAACTAAAGAAGTTGCTCAAGCAGCTGTAAGTAATATCTATTTAGTTTATTAAATGGTTATATTTTTGTTGAATGATTACCTTAATTATTTGTTAAACATTAATACTATAGCAAACAAATTTTATAGAACACCACACACATGTCGAGTTTCAATATAACGCGGCTTTGTGATTCAGTATAAAGACACATTCGTTGCACCAATTTGAGCGTGTTGAATGTCTTCAATGGCTGATTGATGGAAGCAATGGCTGTAATGTACAATGTTGAGAAGACTGCTATTATTTGGTTGTGAAATAGTCGGATTACATTCAAATAAGTAGTGTTTTGGTTAGTTACAGGGGTGAGGATCTAAACACATAAAGAGCTCGGGCGAAGGGTAGGGGGTTGGTTAACAGATGAAAGACGCAGACAAAGGGTAAGGAACACATAAAAGGGTAAGTTTATTTGAAGCTAAATTTGCGTGTTCGCTGAAATTTTGCTCAATCGACAACATACAATTCGCGTCTCGATTCGTTTATTTTACATACCTAACGTCTAACCGATTGTGTTTAAGACGTTTTGCGTGAAAGCGTAAATGATTTTCCTAAGTTTCTTTTATAGTATAGCAAGAGGTATACCATAATACATATGAACTACAATATAAGCACAGTAGACGAGACAAATAAATATTACAAAAATACGATTGTGGCTGCGGCAAATCATGTCGAATCGAGATAGGCGCTCGTTCGACGACGGGCGCCTGATTTACGATGATACATCGAGGTTTTGTCGCAACCACACAAGAACATTCAAGACAAACATACAGATGTTACATACACATAGAGAATGAAACGAATACAAAGGAGTTTAAACAAAAGTGAAAAAGCTTTAGTGGCTCCGCTCGCGTGTCAGTAGATGGACATGCGATGGGCGCCGGCATCACACACATATGCAGGAGTCGCAACAAAAGGGAAGAGGGTAACAGATACTGAACACTGAGGGGCGAGGGCGGGCTGACTGACACTTACCATGGTGTAAAGGAATTCCAGAACTCGCTAGGAGTGGCGGACACACGGCGGCACAGGGACACAGAAAGACAGGACAGATTACTACACAGATACCTACATCCCTCAGTGCAACCACACCCCGGTTTTGCAACCGCCCTGGTCGATTGCACTCGTCTACACTGGTTACCTTGCGTTTTAACACTTAGTATTACAATTGGACTGTCACGCGCACTGATTTTAAGACGAAGCCCGTTTGCATTAGAACAACACCACCACTTAAAAAAATCTCAAGCAACATACGGTAAATTTTAGAAATCTTGATATTTTGCTGGTTGCACCAAGATATACGTAATAAAACATGCTTTAAAGAGATGTACGGAAGAACTCCGCCAGTGTCACGTTCGTCCGGGATCATGATACAAATGCCAGAACGCAATATAACCACTCTAGACTTTTGAACTTAAACAAAATAGTGAAGCGGCTCGTGTTTTAATGCAAACAAACTTTTGAGGCGCTTTTGCATATTAAGCGAGGTGGGTTGACTACTTTGTTATTCAGTTTTACTTTGTCTCATTATTCAAATCAGAAGATCGTATTCGACAATTTTGTACGCTTTTATGATGATTTTAACAGCTATAATTTTTTACCGTCTTTATTTTTACTCAGATCATGAAGGATTCAATAACAGTTATCGATATGTTTGTTAGTCCATTAGCTTTTTTATGGTTTAAGCTGAATAAAAATATTATGATCCCTCATGATATGAGCATATTTTTTAAACCTTATTCAAACAGCATGTAACTTTTAACGATGAAAGACAAACAAAACTGTTCGAAAGCTTTTGAGCGCTCGTTCGATTCTATGTTATTTACTTATCCATTTAATTACTTTAGTAGTAGACGCATTTTTTGTTTAGACAAACAGGTAGGGTTAGACACACACAAAGGATTAACATTAGACAATACACAACACATCGGATCTGGTGTGAAAAATAAAAATAATATCAAAACTCATTAGATGAAACTCATGGTGAATGTTAAAACATAACCATGCTAGGATTGCAAACGAAAAATTAATTTTACACGCGAGAAAACAGAGGAAAATCAAAACACTTCCACCAGATGATAAACAAAATCGTAATTTATAAAAGTATTATCACCAATTAAATTAAAATAACCACACCAAATCCTCGGAGAGGTTTAGGAAGATGAGCGGGATTGTAAATGGTAAAGGTGCTAGCTCCTATATATATATATTACTTTGATTCTATGATAATTGTTCCATCTTCTTACGGACAAAGAGAGTACGGCGATGATATCACGTATCTAAAATTGTAAAGTGCAAATACATATTAAATTATATGGATTGTGCAAAATCGATAGGTCAGTCCTAAACCGATTTGCTGTAAAAGATATCATCCAATTAGTAGGAATATCAGTAATTGGCGTGGACGATATCTTTTACTATGAAGTGATTTGGTGTTCGTAAAACTTGGGATACTGGGTATTATGAGGGTACTTACCTCTCTGAATACTCGTCCATGTGGGCGTAACTTTGTACTGAGTTTTCTTCGATGAGGAACTTAACGCGTTGGTAGAACGAGGCGGTAACCGAAGGCGGCTGCTTGCGGAGGAGGACCTCTACGGGGTCGTTGGAGGAGAGGCACATGATGTGCTCGGCGCACTCTGGCCGGCTGCAGCATTCAGAGTCCGAGCAGTCCGTCATGCCATCTTCAAAATGGTACGCGTTTTGTCAGACGACATTTTTGCACCTCTCGTAGTTTTTATTTATAACCAATATTTGCAGAATTCCAGACTTCATTACAAAGAAATTTTATATTTATGTTAAATTGAATCGGCAAATATTTTTTATAGTATAGCGAATTATTTGGATGGTATCTGGATAAAGAGAAAATATAATAGTATGTTCCATTTGATAACATATCTGAAATGAGTTTATGGCTTACCTTCGTCATTGTCTTCATTGTCGTTGCAGGAGAGTTCAAGGGCAATAGAGCAGTCAGTGCCAGCCCAACCTTCAGAGCATGAGCAGCGATAGACGCCGTCTTCTAGTAGGCATTGGCCATGTCTTGAGCAACCGTTCGGACAACCGGCTGTACGACACAAACAATATTGAGTAACTCGTGGAAATAGCTACTTGACAATGCATTATAAGTTAATAATTTATTACACCGATGACTTATGTCGCAACTCAATGTCATCACAGTGATTTGTGATGTTATTTAAGTATTATTCTCAGGTATTATTATTATATTACTTATGTAAATATGTTTATTTAAATTCAAAACAAGTTCTAATTAAAGTTTTTTAGTATTCGGAATGATGAATATTTTACAAAAAATTAAACGAATAGCAACAGAAATAATTGAATAAGTTATTCGCAAACTATGTAAGTCATGCATTAGCATAAATATATTTCAAAATCTAGTCTGTTAATACTGTAATTCATAGAAATTGAAAAATAAAAGGGAAAATACTTTATGTTTGCCCCGTCCTCTGAGGTCTTACTCAAACTTTCGAATGAGATTAGGAAACTTGTACAAAGTTATATAGTTTGGAATGCCCAAAAGTCTATTCTTATTGATGTGAAAATGTTTTGATATAACATTTCAATTTATAGTGAATAAATTCTTCTCAATCACATCAAACAATTTATAACAAATGTATCTTACATAGGTTCTAAACTTACTTTTATTTTATGATATTATGCTGATTGATACTCACGTAGCGTACAATGCTTTCCGTTCCATCCTTGCGTGCAGACGCATGTGCCGTTCTTGCACTGGCCGTGGTCATGGCAGCGCACGTCGCACGGGCGCTGGTCGCACATGGAGCCCGTCCAACCTTCGTCGCAACGGCACACGCCCTCGGCGCACACCCCATGCGGACCACAGTCCAAAGAACACACCACTGCAGAATATGGGCCAGTGTTATTGAAAGCAGTTAAATTACCGATGATCAACGACCGGAGGAACCCATGTGGCTGTTATTTTCATAAAATATTTTAGACCTAATCAATGCTTAAGTTGGCTTGTCAAGCGACATGACAGTTTTGCACACAAGGATGGAATGCATTATTGCTTTCCGTTCCACCCTTGCGTACATACGCATCTGTCGTTCTTCCACTGGCCGAGGTCGTGGCAGCGCACGTCGCACATGGAGCTCGTCCACGTTCGCCGCAACGGCACACGCTCTCTGTGCACATCCTGTGCAGACCACAGTCCAGAGAACATACTACTGCAGAATTAATTAAAATAGGAAAGAATCGCTTTTAAGGACGGTTCATGTCTTTTTCTGAAAATTTAATCTTTGGTGTAGGTAGCGTCCTTCACTATGTCGTCGGTCTATCTAGTGGGAGGCCTACACACTGAGCGTCGTCCGGCGCGTGGTCGTCACTCGAAAACCTTTGCTTTGATTTTTGGTGTATGTTCATATTATTAAGGCTATTATTATGAGAGCTCTTGGGCACTTTACAGAAGATCAGAATAAAATCAGTGAGTATGGTTCCAAGGCTCCAAGGCATAAGGGGATTTGGTCAGACTAGGCAACGGCGCGAGTGATATTTTGAGTAACGCAAGCGTCTATAGCGCTTGTGTGGACGCTTACCATCAGGTTTGGTCAGGTGTTTGAACCCTAAGGCCGTTTGTACACCGCGGTATGATAAAATCGTTTTGATGTAAACTTACCTTGAGAACAGTCATCGCCCGTGTACAAGGGGTCGCAGACGCATCTCCCGGCGTCCAAGTCGTAGACTCCCCGCTGCGAGCACGCGGGCAGACACCGCTGGACGCGTGCGTCACGCTCACTGCACGCGGCGCCGCGCCAGCCCGCGCGGCACACGCAGCGCCCGCGTACGCACGAACCGTGCCCGCCGCAAGTAGGATCCAGGCAGTCCTCTACATTACGAGATTGAAAGGTTCAATTCGGCTATACGAATATAGGTAGCGGCAAACTTCTTAAGCAAAACCACAGACAAATAACCTTGTGCAGTAGACGTTCTTGTATGTAAAATTTGCAACTGCTCAGGTGTCCTTGTCTAATGTCGATGCTCAAGAAGTTTGTCGGGTGTATACCTAATACATCATCATCAGCTGATTGACATCTATTGCTGGACACTGGCCTACCAAATTGTCTTTTAATAACTGAAGAACTATGCGTCCTTTACTGACTAAGAGTGAAAGATCCAGATAGTCTCCTGTAATCTTATTTGTCTCATATTTAATAAACTGTAAGCTTGGGCAACGAGGGAAAAAATGGGGTGTTAACATTATTTTGTATTAGAAATATGCAATATGGTGATACAGATTTTCTTATAATTTCATTTAGAAATTAATTAATTTTAGCTCTCAATTTATATAATATGTATTTGGACGAAAAGTCAGAATTAATTGTACGGTACGATATAAACTTCATTTATTATACCTTCATCACATTTCTGTCCTTTCCATCCCGCTTTACAATGACAATGGCCGGCCACACACTGTCCCCTTCCAGAGCAATCGGCAGGTTCACAATCGTGTGCTGGTATATCACATTCAGCTCCTTTCCAACCTTCTGAACAATGACAAATACCGCCTGCATATACACCATGACCAGAACACAGAACGGGACACACACCTATAAAAAAAAAGTATTTAGAATTCATTCCAAAAAAATGATTATATTTTAGAAATACTTAAAACTTCAAATTGCATTCAAACTTACTTTTGGAGCAATCATGACCCTCGTAGCCGTCCATACATTCACATTTACCGAGATAGCACGATCCATGACCGGAGCAGTCGTCGGGGCACGAATTAGTCACACCTTCGGCTTCAGATACAATCATTTCGACATTATGCGGTTGGAGTTCATCGTTGTATACAGAAATAAACCACCGCCCCGTGTCAAGATACTGCAATATGCTGACGTTAACCCTCATATCAGTGGATCTCTTGCTTATCGTGTGGTTCCATCTTTCGAATGGGTTTATAGTGCTCAGTATTGAATCCCAATCGTCGAGATTAAGTTCGAGAGCGTCACGTCTCTGTGGACTTCTTCTTCTCCTTCTTAGTCTGTGGTCAACTCTTCCGCCTCGAATAAATTCTACAAAATCATATTGAGTAACGCTTGGAGCGACGTTTCGCCTTCCGTAGACGGCAAAATTAGCTCCCCATGGTACAGTGAAGTTAAGGCTAACGTATGCTGGTTGTTTATTTCGGAATTCAGAACTCCAAAACTGGTAGGCGGGTATTGTTGCGCTGTGGAGTTCGTCGAATTCTCTCACTTCTAGCGCTGGAGACCAAGGTGGTGGTGCAGCTTGTTGTGCTTGTTGTGGTATTATAGCTGATTCTAATGCAGCTTCCGCAGTTGTTGACCACCCCCCTAGCGACGACGTTGATATTGATTCTATAAATAAAGTACCATAATTAACAAAACAGTATTTTTACAACAAACCTGTTCAGTTGAAATATTTGAGAATATAGTACATACCGTCAGATGGCGATGATGTTGATAGCGCATCTCTGATTCCTTGTGCATGTGTGACCGCTTTTACATCTTGTACCAGGATGCAATTTGAATTGTCTATATTACTTTTAATTGACGATAACGCTGCAACAAAGACAAGATTGTTTTTTTTATATGCTAATGAAATATAGATGTTCACATCATAAAAAATATAAGTGTATTGAAGTTGATCGATTTATGATCTTTCTTTTATCAACCGTGAAACGATGTAGCGAGCGTTAAATCTTTCATTTAATCTGGACTTTCAATTAAGTTTCCGTTAAGTTTGAGCCTTATCAGTGGCCCACATCGAGAATGCCCAGTAGCCGAAAACTAATTCTATTAAAGTTCACACGGGTGACGGTTAGAGCGACATGTCTTTCGAAATGCGTAGTAATAAGAGATGTCGTTCTAGTGCCACGAATATAGGGTAGATGACGTGACGAGCCGTCGGGTTTTAATTAAGCGAAGCACGGGCAAAGCGCATTTTGTAGCGGTGTGACTGAGCGATTAGTTCCGCTGCCGCAAACCACTGGCAGCTACTGCTTGGCACGTAGGTGGTTCGGCGACACCCAACCATTTTTTGTCTCCGGGAATGCCGTTGTCTCCTCATTATGCGACAGTTGCAGTCGATAGAATCGATCACAGAGCGCTACGCACCTTAATTGGATAATTCTTCACGCTACTAACTAAGGGAGCACGGGCTTGAATAGCACGAGTTTTATTCTGTTTGACACGATTTACTTTTTGTGGGGAAGGATCAAGTAGAGCGTTAAATAACACCCGCTCGAAATAGTTCCAATCTATCTTACATCTGAGCTCCTTTCCATACTTTCCTTAAAGCTACGATTTCTGTGCTCGGTTAAAGAGCTCTAAATGGGTAGGGCGCATTGCGTCGAAATCCAAATGTAAAGAGAATTTATCGTGTACATTTATTAGTTTTGTAAGAAGCTCGGAGGCGGTTGGGATTTGCAGCGCCGAGGGGATGCGGCGTTTATTTGTTGAGAGCGCGTGCGCTGGCAGGATGTGCGCGCAATAAGTTACGCGTGCATGAAAAGCCATGTGTCACTCGTTACGGGACTAATTGACGTGAGCAATTTGGTATTCTTCTAATTGCCATAATTTACAAGGACACCAATTTCCGTAATAAAGTTAATAAATGTAAGAAGTACTCCTATCTAAGTATTTAGTTTTATTTTCTGACCTACAAGTTTCTACAGTTTTTACAGACACATTGGGGTGGTGTCAATGTAATTAAGTTATCGCGGCTTCCCACTCTGTCCCCAAGATTTACTCCCTGATAAGGATCACGATGCGTTGACGCCATTTGGCTGTTAGAATTGGGCAATTTCCATTAACTTCTGGCTGGCTGGCACGAGGGAGATAGATCAACAACAATTGCTATTATCGGATCAGGCGACAATCTGACAATACTTAAATAAGTAATTTATATTCATTGCCGATTGCACACTATGTACATAAACTTCAATGTATCTCTTAACTTGTTTATGCATACGTAGGCATATTCTTTCATTACCAGTCAATAGAAATAGGTGTTCATGATTTCTGTTCTGTAAATTGTTTGTAATTGAAGTCTAAATTTAATTCACGAGTTTTTTCACAAATTTTGGAATTAATAATCAATTTAGTTCCAGAGCTTTATAATTTCTAAATGTACCTAACAAAGGAGATTGCTCAAATTGGCCCAAACATACAAAAAATATGACATATACCGTAATTCTTGGCGTAATTTTATTTTACAGTCACTAGATTTTAACGGACACTTTTGTATAATATATTCATTTTAAAAAGGACTTTTAATTTTACCGGTTTGGAAAACATACGAATCATTTTTAATGGCTATGGGTGTTTTCAGCCAAACACTGATCGAAGTTGTTTATATAACATCAAACAAATCTATTTTGTAAACATCGATAAAATAAAACATTGTTTTGTTACACTGTGGTAATAATATCCACAAGTATATTATCATTTTTACTACATGCAAAGTGCTAAGACAAATATTATAGATGGTAGGCGACATCATAAAGTCTATTGCCATACATTTTTCGCCATACACATCCATAAACTCACTATAAGGTGTGATACACTAAAAATCTAAAATATGGTTATAATATAAACATAACAAAAATAATAAGCTTTCTTTAGTTAACCAGAGTTTCTCTCTAATCTGTGGCTCATTCACACACAAATTCTGTACACCGAGTACCTTATTATATCCGGAAATGCATAGATGATACCTGATTTTAAAAGTTACTCTTATGCATTAACTTTAAAAACAGGCAATCTATTAATCTACATGCTTTATATACCTGAATGTAATACATAATTTTGGTACTTGGTTTGATTTCCCTAGTTTGCTGTATAACTTATTTGTTTTTTATTATTTAGGTATTAACCTATGAACCTATTTGCAAACATAACCTCAAAATCATTCAGTGTATATGGTTTATAGAAGTTCTCAGGGGTGTCCGTCAATAATATTCGTTTCTAAAGTAATTTATATATAATTTCGGATCTAGGAAACAATTTTTCATGGTTATTGGTCTTTATCATTCTATTTCTAATAATTTATTTAAGTATTCCGTAACCGTCAAGATTTAGTGTTAGAAGGACCATAGGAATTTATAATTTATTTATATCAGTTAAGTATTATTTTTATATTTTGTACTATATTCTATCAAAGATAAAATAAATTATTTTATGTTAAGTACGAAAAGCTTTTAGCACAATCAATGGTCTTGATTAAATATATTCGGATACGTTATACCCAGAGTAACCTTTTCGTAACAACATAAAACGCCGTATCATAAACAATGTCAATGTTAGTGGATAAACGAGCTCCGATGACGTAATTTCCGCCCACGAAAATGAAATACGGCAATGTGCTAAGCCACTTTCCCGATCATCCCTTGTGAAATCTACAAGTTCTCGCAATAAAATGATGGAGAAAGACGCTCGACATGCCGCCATCTTGATGCACAGCCGGCTGTGCAGATGGACTATGTTTGCTATCTCCACTATTTTTCAAGTTAATACAATTTATTGTAATACGATTCAGCATAGATTGCATCGTGCGATGGGGGAGCGAAACTCGTTTGATGGAGTCCCCGGGGATCTCATGACGCCGTCGCCCTGACTCGGTATTAGTCACGTGATAAATCTTCCTGATACTCGTGTGTTCCCATCTCCTTCTATTATATAAGGGGTCTCATATGACTGTCCTTTTCTCCCGTTCATATGATCTACATTCGAGTAGAACTGCGTTCTTTGTTTGCCCTATTTTATAAGAAGCGTGGCGGGAACAAGTGTTGAAATTAAGGATGTATGTATAAAGTGCAGTTTTGTGCCTTTTAAATTAAGTTTACACTAATTTACATGCGTAAATCTAACAAAATAATTATGTAGGTCTATATTTTAAATAAAGGGCTCTATCTTTTGATTGCTTTGGCTTAGAAGTTTGATTTTTCACAGAGCCAAGGGACAGTAGACCTGCGTATTTGATATGAATTTCAGTTTGATACCTCCACGCGTTCCTGAGAAAAACGGTCTAGGCAGACGGACGGACGGATGGACAACAAAGTGATCCTATAAGGGTTCCATTTTTCCTTTTGAGGTACGGAACCCTAAAAAAGAACGGCTTTGTAATTGCATTATATAGATATACTTTTCCTTTTCGTTTTATTAAGGGAAGTCATACAATTTGAGATTTCAAAATATTTTCCTAAACTTCACACCTATATCTATCTATCAATGAGCATTTTGAAAGTACTTAAAAGGAGATGTTTTCGAAAAATGAAATATGGCTCTTCATATTCTTCATATATTTTAGTTAAAAGACAAAAGTATATAGGTAGCTCGGTATGTTCTAAATATCTTTTACCTAACAGACAAAGTTTTTTAAAAATTCTATCAATTTCCCTTGTGAAAAGTAAACAAAGTGCAACCCAGGTTAACAATGTGTAGTTCAAGCCACTTCAAAAGCGTTAATACTCAACAAAGCGAGTTTCAATAAAACATTTGGGGTCCTCACGTTTCCAATTACATTAAAAAGTCGACGGCGCTATATTTGCCCCCATCAATCGCGCACCACACAAGTAATGAAGGGTGCAACAGATGGTCCACATTTTTTCATTACAACATTAAAACTAAACCGGCAGCGCCAACCATGAGATTTATGTCGGATTAAAATATGTACAAACTCCCTATTAATCGGTACACATCCGTAACGCCAGAAGGCGTGTTCAACAAATATTTTATTGTGTTTCTGAAACCCAATCATTACAGGACAAAACCCGAATGATTTATCTTCAGCGCTAGCCGAAATTACCTATATTTTTTATGAAATTGGGATTCTCATGGAATTTTCCAAGCGATACGTGAAGTTGTATTGATTAGTAGAGTTTAAAAAATTGATTGACTTCCGAATATCTTACGGAAATCTTAATGCTGTCGTTTAGAAGCGATAGCTCATTGAGAGAAACATATAATGTTTTGAAGCGGTCACTAGCCGCCAGCATCTGTATGCGAGCGCTGCCGCTGCGCCGCGCCGCCGCCGTATGGCTTATCTCGTGTCCCTCTAATTTAACGGGAATCTAAATGAACCGAGATCCGATACGATAAACGTTATTGACTCGAGACACCTTACATTGAGCGGGTTCGTTACATTACTTTTAAAGGCGTTGAAATGTGAGAAATTTATTTTCAACTAGACTCTACACCTACACGAGCCGCACCAATACGGTACCTACCGACCGACGTTAAACCGGTAGTCATTTGTAATATTTAATAAGTATTAGTTGTAATAAACACCAATAAAAAACAAGTTTTGACGTTTTCATTGATTGCGTTCTACCGGCGGGCGGCGGTAAAGTTAAGTTGTTATATTTTCACATGATGGCGTGTTCGCTGCGCGTTACTTAGTCTAACTAACGATGCGATGGGTGAAAATGTTTAATAAAGCTAGGGGCTAAGTTAAATTAAACGGGCACGCTGTAACAAACTGTGTGATCATTATCGGACAATAATGTACCATACAATAAAATATGAGTCCCCTGAAACATTTTTCATACACTGTATTATACATCATTTCGATTCAAATTTCAAAATATTTTTGTTAGTAGAGTGTGTACCACGCAGATGTTGACACATTATTATTGTGTTGTGTTTAAATGTCACGGCATAACATCACAAGTGATTCGTCATGCAAGTGTAAGAACTTGAAAATATAGATTTGTATATACATACCATGTATATTTTTAACGGATTGTGACTCTGACAGTGTAAGGATTTTTAAGCACCATTGTAAAATACATACAATGTTATTTAATCCTAATAAAGGTTCATAAGCTCAAGTGTTTAAAAATTGGGTCGTTCCGTCGGTTTCATCTGAAAACCTAGACAACTAGAGAGAAAAAGTCCATTAGAAAGAATTTCCCTTTTTCAAGACAATTTATTGAAAGGGTTATTAAGTGTCTTCATTACGCGGTTCAATACTCCGAAGAGATCGCTAATGTCAGCCAACTCTGTCGTTATCTCAAGAAAAGTAGGTCGGAAAAATGGCTGTATTTCCCTCTCCACTCTTGGTACTAAAATGTTTCCAGTGTAAACGTCGATCAAATGTAGGGCAGAGGTATCACACTATAACCCAGCGTCAACTGTGTCGCTATTTTAGTGATACACTCAGATACTTATGTGACTGCGGTCTGGAGTTTTATCACTCAGGAGAGCTGACTTGAGGTAGATTTTAGTATGTGCAACGGCCAAATACGAATACATAAACAAGTTAGAATTTACGCATCCCGTAATATTTTAAACACAAGAATCTTAGCCTCACAAAAAGCTCGCGTTATTATTTTTTCTCAAGTCTATTTTACTATTTGTACGTGACACGAACCGAGCGAGCTCGACGGTCACTTTGTTTACGTCATACTCTGAGTTTCCGTAGTTAGCGGGAAACGCTTTTGGCTTAGGTAAGTAAGTACATTATTCTACGAAGCTCACAACTTTTTCGTGTGGTTCTAAACGCATGCCGTTCCGTTGAGACAAAATGCGGCTCCATTTTATCATGCACTAGCGGCCCGCCCTCGCTTCGCTTCGGTGTAGAGCTGAAGTGTAGACTACAGTTTTTGTTCTTAGGCTTGTATTATACACAATGACATTCATCTATGATTCTTCTTATACCTGCATGCAAAGTCAGCCCGATCGGTTTAAAATTGTCAGTTTCATACAAACTTTCATTCCCTATTTTATCCCCTTGGGGGTAGAATTGATCAAAATACTTTCTTAGCGGATGCCTACGTCATAACATCTACCTGCATGCCAAAATTCAGCCCGATCCGTCCAGTGGTTTGGGCTGTGCGTTGATAGATCACTATGTCAGTCAGTCAGCTTGGAGTTTTATATATAGATAACTAGCTATAGTAGAAAGGATTAGCCCTTTTAATCTAACTGGGATATACTTTGCAATTTATAAAGTATTAGGAATGTGTAAATTATGATTGGTCGTTCAGTGGGCAGGGCGGGATTGCGCGAGTTTGATATATCCGCAGTGAAATAATGCGGGACGTAGAAGTGTAAGATAATTTATAACGGGCTAGCACGGGCACGCACCACGCTGCCTCAGGTTAGGCGCATCATTTATATTTTCCGATGTTTGTTTAGTTCTTTTTTATGGCCCTCTCTGTGGACGCTGCTCGCGAGATTTAAACAAAGAACGATGAAAGAGTAATGGTTGATGTCTGTTTCCGTTGCAACATCCATGTTTAATCAACTCATTTGCATGCCAGAGTGGATATTCCAATTTATCACCTCCGATAATTGAATTTGGACGTGATGATGGAAATAATAATATGCATTATGATCCGCTTGTAAAACTGTAAAATGTAAAAGAATAAAATTTTATGACATCAGCGATCGAATCATCATTTCGGTATTCTAAAGTTATAACTGTTATTTGATGGTGGATATTAATAAATACTTAAATAAACTGCGGAGCAGTTGGCGTCTATGGTTTAAATTGGAATTTACTGTTTGTTGCTACTGATTCACGTTAAATTGATGCTGCGGGCTAGTTTTGCCTAGAAGGTTAACCGTTTCGCAGGCTTCCAATCATACTAGACAAGGCTGCTCCTTAATTGGAGAAACCGTTGCCGCGGGCGTCCTGGCTTATAAGAGGGAGCTCGGAGATATGGGTGATTTTTCATCGCGTTGTAAGCAATTAGGCAGACTTACAACTTGTATATCAAAGCTTGTAAGTATAGTGCGCACAGTGCCATAAATTGCAGTATTACACTGCACTTTACGTAAGAAAAGTATAAAAATATGTATTTCCATCATTTAAAATCTCTGTATGTATTTCTATAGTATTACATTTCGTAGTTCGTATTATAACGCAAGGTATATGTTTTGTAAAGAATTACTACGGAGCTACTTTGTCTAAAGACGACTGACCGCTAATGGATAGAGAAAGAATAATGTTATGAATATTTTAATCGGCATTCCGGTTAAGTTAATAAAAATATAGCCTTAGCGAGAGCTCTGAATATCCCGCTGCGTTTTTATGAACAAAGATATATTAACAGCATAACTTGTACTTAAAAAGTTTCAATACTTAATCGATTGTCTATGGTTTTGTCTTTATCATGGTTGTATTTTTTGGAAACCTTACACCGAGGATCAGCTGGATGCTTCGTTATAATATTATGATTGTGGTTAAAATATGACAGTTTTATATACTACAAGAGTAAACAAAAAATACCATGAAAGAATTTGAAAAACATTAATAGTTTAGTATTTGAAATACAATAAAATAAAAGTTTTTAACTTTTTCACGAATATGTGTAAGTACTTTTTTAAATGAGCTTCGTCTTTTGTTAGGTCATTCTTTGTTGATCGAAGATGTCATTGATAAAGACGATTTGGTTGCTAAGTTTTTGGATATGTGCTATACTATTAAGACATACCATCAATAATATCCAATATTTAAAGTTTTTTTTTTCATATTGTCTGTCTTCTTTCTCAAATTTGTGCACATTTGTGTAAATTACAATCCAAAAGCACCATTAATAAGCCACTAAGAATTATTGCGAAATGGTTTTCCGAAAGCGATGATATGGCATAAATTATAACTTAAAAATATCTTTGGAGCTAATTAGTGGCACACCTAATAACGCATCAAACAAATTAACAACTCCTAAATCGGTTGTCGAATGTTTCCACTCTTAATTATGTAATTTTGTAAATCTCTACTAGCACCAAGTTCCGTTATGTTATAATGTTGTGTGGCAAGATTTTTCTAACTTATTGGTGTATTTTTAAGATCAGTTAAGGTTTAGTTTTCTTATTTAATAGCTTCTTTCCGAACGGCCTTCGTTGAAAGAATTTATGGAGTAAGGAACGTAGTCAACTCGCGCTTGATTTATCGGGATCAGATAAATAAGAGTACTATTAAATTAGGTAATTGATGAGGAGCCCCGTTTCTTATACTGGGCTTTAAAATCACTGCTCGTTTATTATAGAAGAATATAAAAAGCTCTAATTGATAAGCGAAATGTTTTAACAAAGCTAAGAAACGCATAACCAATAAGTACCTACCAAAGTAACAAGTTAGTAAGTATGTGTCTGTAATGAGGCTAAACAAGCATAAATAAGTTTCACAACAAGAAGAAATTTGGAACAAGGGTTCGCGTTTCGTTTAAGATACTTACATGTTAACATTAGAGTTGGGAAAGGAAATTGGTAGTCTGACATTTTTAAGCGTTAATCGATTGTACTTGAATTCGTGGACTTCAGATTTTAAATACTTACCTGATCAAAAACATGTGTATTCCTTTTAATGTTCTAATAAAAAGAGGATTTAATATTAAACTTACCAATAAAATAGGCGAGCATCGCCGCCAATATGACACATAGGCAGATCATGGCGATCGCCAGACACTTCCACGTGCACCGGTGCTGACACCGTTTGTCTATGTGGAACCTCGAGGGCGAGTAGACTGGCACCGGGCTGGGTTGGCTGGCGCGCAGGGGGAACACTGGCATCACTAGGGGCTGGTTGGCTAGTTGGCAGTGGCCGCTGCCGAGGGTGCCGCCACCCATGCCGGAAGACATGGCAGCGCTGCCCAATCTGTAAACAAAAGACGGTCGTTGTATAATTTTATAAGTCCCTATGCGGTGATGTTAGGATGTTTACTCAACGTTTTTCTTTTGTTTTTTTTCAACTTAATAAAAAAAAATAAGGCACCAAACCGTATTGACTGTTAATTAACATGATAATCCATTAATATGAAACAAAGTCGTGTCAAAATCGGCTGGACCAATTTTAATGAACTCTGATTTTTTGGATTCGCCTCCGCCTCGAATATCAGAATAAATATTAAAATGTCGGAAAAATCACGGAAAAAATGCTGTAAATTGAATTTTAAATAAATCAGGTTCGGTATTCCGCCATCTTCCACAATTGACATCTCACGTCACGCAAATGCAAAGCTATTTTAAAATGGAAATCAAAAACCAAAAATTTGGGATATTATATTTATTTCGTATATTTAAACGCACACCACACATTAAATAGTACTAGTAGTAATAGTTAAATACTCAAGAGTTCTCTTGAGAAAGGAGAGCTTGAGTATTAAAAAAGCATCTAAATCCGTTGAAAAAGTGTTTTATTTAATGTGGTAAAATAGCCTACTCAAATCTAGAGAGACATTGAAATTTCAATTGAATCAATTCGTGTGATACGAATTGATTCAATTGAAATTTCAATTTCGGCTGATATTTTGGCAAGGAGACGATTGTCGAACTTCAATATTGTAAGTACCTATCAGTATCATGGTTTTAGTTTCCAAAAGATATAGAATAATTACAAAAAGATTAAAGAATATTCTCCAAACTCAGCCAGAGTTTGGAGAATATTGGGCAAATACCTAGCAACCAATTAAATCCGTTATAAATTTCGGAGATACGTCATTGAAGTACATGTTAATAAATTTTCATTTTCTCAAAATATTTTTGTATTAGTTTTACTTTAGTTGTAATGTCTGTCGTTTATTTAATCTAGCTAAAAAATTCAGAGTCATGTTTCCTAATTCTAAAAGTTTAAGAGTCAGCGATCTCTTTATTGATAGAGTCGATCCTATCGTATATAATAACTCTCAACTCAGAAAAGACTTTTATAACCTTCAGGTTTTATTTAGCTTTTTGAGCATCGATTTGGAAAAACAAAATTTGTTTTCGATACAGCCATCCAATCTCCCCAGGTAACAACAAAACAAGAAATATGTCCAAAGTTTTTTAATTAGCGCAGTCACGACTCACGACAACTGGATATTGACTTTCTCGATTTTTGATTTTTAAATTCGCAATATTAAAGAGTATTTTAAAACTTTTGTGTGTGACTTGTTCCAACGCTTTGTAAACTATTATGTGTGAACTGCACAACAAGTGCACACATAGTGTGCACAAAGTTTCCCTCTAAAATACCTCCGGTGAACTAAAATATTTCCATGAGAGATTAAGCCGCCTTTTGCTTGAGCTAAAGTTATTCGAAACGATGCCAGGCGTAGTTCTCATTTACATGTGTTGGATGGAGTGTTACCTCAAATTGCAGGCTCATAAATGTTACATAGATCTCTGTGAATGAAGATATAAGTGATGAAACAGGTAATAATGCTAAGGTACCTGCAGAAGTTAACGGCCTTACCAACTGTTTCGAGGCGAATCCGTGCCCACGCCATATGGCAATTTTAACCATAAGGTCCGTCAAGACAATCAAAACGTATCATTACAGGAATTTTAACAAAAAAAGTCTATCGCGGCGTTTAAACACGTCCGCCCGAGAGCCCATTAATCAATTATCCCAACTTCACTGTCACGACTAAATTTAAAGGCGCGCTGGGAACATATGGCGCATCAGAGCACCGCTCCAACCAACCAACTGACGCCGTAATGACCTTTAGTGTAAGGAATACGCAAAAAAGAGAGTCGAAATAATTGAACCAAGTTTAGCGAGAACGGAGCGTGACTCCTAAAGGGTTTGTTTCAAGGAGGCTCTCGACTGTAATTTTCTTTGAATAGCGGCCGAGGAACGTTCGAAGGAAGGACGAATTCATTAAAACGTGTACAGAAATCACAATGGCGGGGCACGAAGAGTTTGCTTTAAATTGCTTTAAAAGAGCCCGTCGTGCCGCCGATGCCCGGTCGTCTGTAGGTTTCAAACCTATGTAAGTATTTAGATTATTGATTAATTTGTATTAAAAAAAATCCGATACAATTCTGAATTAAAGCACAAAATCGCCGAAATTGTTACGATGAAATTGGAAGTCCAAAACTGTAGTAATTGGATCAATCATAACAGGTATTTCGACTAGATGTAATTCTGTTTGGTGGTCGCTGCTGATTATTTTTTTGATCGCTCGTAACTGTATTCTCGATTGTTTTTTTTTAAGTCTATTATCATTAGGTACGATTTTATTGTTTGTAATCTCGCGTAGGTGCCATTACTGGCCATAGCGCATCATTTCCGCACGTGAACAAAATGACTGTTGCAGTGTGCTCATTGAGTTTTTGTCCAAGAAAATTTTGTGGTAAAGCAATGAAAACATTGTGCAACGGCGCAAGTTTTTCAGTTTCGGAACGGAAGCGAGCGGTCTATTTTACGAGAGCACAAAAGTCGAGATTTCGAACAAAGAAGATCCGAAGAGGAGACGACTAAGACAATTAACGTAGCCAACGACGACGCTGTTATTGTAGGACAATACTGCGATATTTCAAGCGTTCGCCGAGCGTTCGGTGAGATTTTGACAGGGGCTCGTCGCGAGTGAGCTCTTAATGAAGCGGTAAATAATGAGGAGAGGTGTTGCTCGGCGCGAGAGCCGTGTCTAATTAACGCGAGAGCCCACGACCAGTTTACACACCCGCACCGCATCATATGGTCCCTCCACGACACGTTTAGTAACTATGACCCAGCAATTTATCGACGAGTTGAAAGGATCGGAAAAACGTCGGAAGGCACAAGCGAAAGGTATTTGTTTCACGGCTCGAAAGGTTTCCTTTCGCAAACTGTAAACTGTGTTTGTGTGTTAAATGTTTTAGGACTTTTTCATTTACGATACATTAAGTATGTGACTTTGTAATATGTGAGCGTTATGACTATTATAATTTGATTTTTTAAATTATACTAAGAACGTTTTAAATCCATGTCTTACCCACCTCTTACAGGACAGTAGAAAGACAAGTAAAAGTGTTTTTTTTATGCCCTTATGAAATTTTAAGTAGGTACCCAATTAAATTATAAGATAGAGATTTTGCACAAATAATTTACTCGGACACAAAAGTTAAGTGAGGGAATATTATATAAATATTGTAAAATTTGATGCAAAAATTATAATATTATTAAGGTTTCCTGTTAACGTATTTCTTAAAATATAATTTATGGAGATAATGTAGTTTCAACAAATGGTTTTTTTAATGCTGTAGGTACCTACAAATCACTTTACATACAATATTCAAGATTAGTAAATTTTCGCGAGATTAACGTCATCTGTGAATAGTTCAGATGCACCTCACCATATTTTATTGAGCGAGCTTTCTGAATCATTGTTGTTTCTGTACCAGCGTATCATACGCTAAGACTAGACGTACCAGTCGACCTCTAACTCGGAAACTTGATGAAACAAAAAGAAGTCAGGCACGGGCCGTGAGAACGCTCCTCTTCCCTGGCGTCCATTTATCTTACACAGTCGTGCGGGAATGGACCGGACACCGATGTGCTTTTATTGCCTTCGCCTCCCTAAATATAGCTTTGCGGAGGTAAGCAGCGATTCTTTCAGCCTTAAAATGATTGGTCCAATATTGGTTGCGATAAATGAAATGGAATGTGTTGGGTATTGTTTCGAGCCTTCGTTAGTTAGATTGCCTAAAACTGTCCTGGAATGAGGATTTGACGTTTCCATTTCGTGTTGAGCGCTTATAAAGTCTTTATTTTTGGAATAAGTCTCTAATTTAATTTCTAAATTTCGAATTTGGAATTTGGTAATGTTGCAACCGTTGTAAATGAAGCTTACACTATTCATTAACAATTATTAACTAGTTTTTATTAAATAAATGTATGAAAGTGTGAAAACTAGAGTAAAAAATATTCTCAATTACAATTTTGAATTTGTATTTAATATTGTTTCAGGTATTAGAAAAATAAAACCCATAAGTTCACGTCATATAGGAGGCTTGTTCAAGTGCATACGACGAAGTAGCAATTATTTTGTCTCGCAGCGGATGCGAGTTGATTTTATTGTTAATAGACTCAACGCGACGCGACTGGGCATATTATCCTTTGGAAGATGAACATTCTTGACCCGTTTTACCGTTGCTAAATGCAACTCCAGGATAATTTTACAAATAGATTGAATCGCTATGTCCAAACTCCGATGAATATTATATCTATATATGTATTTGAGTCTTACGAAACTATACTGATTGATAATTTTAGTGAATTTTTGTTAAACATAAGTGATTACTCTGATTAGTATTAAATATTAAAATGTGAGCCAACGATGTATTTTTTGCCTACATTTCACATTACACCTACATTTTTTTTACATTTTGTCTATGACAGGCACGTGAGCAGTAGACGGCGTGTGTAGAGAAACATGTTTCAGAAAGTTTTGTGTATGTGTTTTTGTTGAATGTTTTTAAAGTTAGTTTTTTGCTGGATACCCGGCTTATCAGGATCACAGCTACAAAATATGCACATAGAAATATAGGTCTTAATGATGAATTAATGAGATAAATCTGATTGGTATTATTCATCGATTGAGCTTTTACTCGCTTTCGTTACTTGTGAGTATTTTTATGCTATTTGCCATCTTTTATTATTCAGTCCTGGAAATGACTTCATCCCACTTGTTCACCCTACATGGTCCAAATATGAAATTGGTCAATATGTATAGGTAGCGGTAAATTTATTCAGCAAAACCATAGACAATACAGTTTTTGTATGTAAAATTGCTACGGGTGGTAAGGGTGACTACCCTTATCTGTAATGCAATCAATATAACCCCCTCTTTCAGAGAATTTATCAGTACGAATACACCAATTATAAATTGAGGTTGAAGCTTACAGTTTCTTATT